GAAGCAAGCAGGAGTTGGAGATGTGCCACCAATGGCAAGCGCCGAAGCCGAGTCCACTCCGTCGCAAACCCGGTACCTCAAATCGGCCTTTCTCTTGTGCCAGTTCACCACTCGCACCGAGTCGAAGGTGAGATTCTTCATAGGAAAGCTCTTGCCGGCCCAAATCACCCCTGGCTGCATCTTGGGATTGTCGATGGTTATGTTTCGCAGGAGGATGTTTCTATAAATGCCTCTTTCGGAGGGATGGCATTGTGCACCGGGCATGCTGGGCCACAGCAAGGAGCAAGGGTGGCCCTCCCAGAAGTATCGCGAGTCGGACTGTTGAGCAGGCCCGATCCAAATTGCCCACTGCTCCGGCTCCTTCATGTAAATATTATCATAAGTAATGTTTTGAATGATGGACACCTCATCCTTGTCCACGTCCCGAAACTTCATGTAGATGCCTTTATAAGTGCGATCCATGTAAACATTCCGAAAGGTGATGTTCGTCACCACATCCTTGCCGCCCTGAGAGCCAATCGTGAGGCCAAGGCCGCTGGCCTCAATGTTCTCGAACAGCATGTTGCTGGAGCTGCCTGCAAGTCTCAGAAAACAGCTTGGCAGCAAGGGTCTCAAAAGAACCAGTTGACTGCCTTGCAGTCGTTTGCCTGGAAAGGGTCAACCTTAAGCAACCTTCTACAATAGCATTCTACAATTCCCCCACAAAGATGGCATCTCAGATTTAAATCTGATGATGTGTATCTACATTGTATCTGAGATTTACCAAATTGGCATCTGCAATATCAGAAATCGCAAATTTGATGTATTCACTTTTACAACCTTTTGAGCCGAGGCCCTGCCTTTCACGGTGAAGCAATCATCTTGGTTCCAAACCTTACCTCAGTTGGCAAGGACGCAGGAAAGGGTGATCACCTTTTGGGGCCACCAAAAATGGGAATCCAACCAGGGGGCACCCACAAAGGTCCGTCCGGCCAATAAAACTCGGTTGCTTTCTGCTCCCAAGTTTAAATGTTGGAAAACCCGTTAGTTGGCAAAAAGTTAAAGTCCATCCAAGCACAATGCACCAAAGTTAAGGTCGATTTTAAGGAAAGTGAGTTACTGTGGTGCACCCACACGTTGGTGCCCTGCAGGTCCCAGCCGTCCGTGTTGAAGGCCCCCAAGTTCCACAAGTCGTGGCCTCTGCGGCCGTTGCGGCGGTTCAGGATGTCGGCGTCTCGGATTTCCAGGCCGTCCACCTAGGAACGCACTGAAACCTAGGTTGGTAGCATGATGCCGGCTTAGCATCTCTGGGGTAGCCAAATGATGCTGGCAAAAATGCCATATTTGGAAACATCATGGCGAGCTCGAATTCTTATTCGCAGGTGAGCTCGCCATAAAATAGGCAGACATGAAGGTTCAACGATCATTGCCCCACCAACATAGCAAATAGATTACTAAATATAGCCACTTTCTTGCTAAACATAGTCACTATATCTTAAAATTGTACCATGCTATTTTGGACACCGTGCAATAGCCACAATCTTTCTCAGCTGGTTTGCACATACTATTTTCCTGGTGTGGTATCGTCGCACGAGCCAGTTTTGCCCAAAATGAGCTCCCAAGAAAGGATTTTCAGGGTCAGGACATCTGCAGATACCGTGCTGTTAACCAAGTGACCCCGAATTTTTGAGAAATGTTCAGACTATGCTTGGGCCTGTTTTGCGTGTTTTGGGGGGTGGATTGTGGGGCTCAACCAGGGTATAAATTGAAGCGAAAGCCCTCTTGAAGACTCTTGGTTGATTTTTAGAGCTCGTTTTGTAATATTGTGTTTAAACTGTACCGTACATTTGTTGGGATGTACTGGGGGGGACACCTAATTTGATCATGAATCGCACTTGCTTTTTGCTGATTGTAGCCTTCTAGGCAACAATCTCTCGGACAGGTTGTATGGGAGAGCATGGAAACATCCATCATACTTCGACGCAACCTTGTTCACGCGACTTGGCTGGTCACTGCAAAAAACAGGTGTACCCTGTTCACTTATGTAAACCATGCCGATAGATCGAACAAATTGGGGGTTGATAAAAAGGTCCTTACATGGGAGGACTCTTGGGGAAAACCATTGAAAAGATGAGACTTTCCCTTAAATGGGAAAAGTTACCCATGGTCATTCGGGGGCCAGGAGTACTGATCAACCCCCATTTCAGGATGTTTCGCCTGGCTTCCACCAGCAGCCACTGTTTGCTTGAAAACGAAACCTGACTACCTTCCTCCTCGAAATGGGTTGTGGCTTTTTAGGGGAGCACGAAATATATTTATGTTTTTTGTTCTGTCGGTATCCCTTCAAAACCCACCAGCAAGGAGTAACTCATAAAAGACAGAACTAAATGGATCGGTGCAAAAAAAGAAAAGAAGTCCGCTCAGGACTGATTCTCTGCCCGGCCTGGGTGAACCAGGTGGTCCAGTATGGCGAGTTGGTAAGCAGCAGCTTTTCCACCATCACATCCTTCACCACGTCCATTTCCCACAGCCGCGGCCGGTTCTCCTGAAGAGCGCCGGCGAGCTGGTGGCTTATCTCCGGTGACTCAAAGGGGATGATCCGGATTGGATCGCAAGAATGAAACGAGCTAGCATGACGCCTCTTTCAGGCAGCAAAGAACACTGAACACCAGAGCACTTTTCTGTTCTTGGGCTATGACCGGCCGACTTGTAGCTCGGTGCAAGCCTGGAGAGCCTTTGCTTAACCTGACGCAAAACAACGCTCGGAAGCCGAAGGCAGGAGGGAATGGGCTGATCCGTGCCCAAAGGGAATCAGACTTAGAACTTGAAGCTCCTGGACCTCTGCTCAGAAAATGCAGTGAAGCCTGTTGGTCTGAGAGGACACCAGAAAAACTATGTCCTCATCATTGCTACCTCAGCGTGTTCATGAGGAAGGATTCGATGCTAACAACATGATGCCTGAAGCCTGCGTGCGATGGCCTTGATGGCTATGGCTGAGTTGCAGCTTTCCGTCGCCCGGAATCCAGCCGCTTTTGCTGCTGTAAAGCACCAGTCCCCAACATGTGTAGTGCAACCCCACCTATACGAGTATGTATTTTTGAGGGTACCCCTTCTTGTTTGGTTTCCAAGGGAAACCAAGAGGAAAACCACCAAATTGGGGGGCCCCCTAAGAAAGACGAGCCACCCTTATGGGGAAAAGGCTTGGAGCAACAAAGCGCTGCGACAAGAAGACACGGCCCCCAACTACCCCCCCCAGTCCTCGTTCTCCAGATACCTAAGGTAGCCCCACCATGCAGCACCCTGGCCGTCCAAGGTGCCCCGCTGCTGCGACGTGAAGGTCACGTTGCTCACGTTCCTGGGCACGGGGTGTCAAAAGCGAGCATGGTTGCAGCACACAAATGTCTGCTGCGTTCAAGCCTGAAGTACGGCGTCACATACTTCTCTCTTGAAAGTTGCTCTGAAACTCACTAAACAAGCTCCACCCCGAAGCGCTGGACAGCAAGAATGTCCCAATACCAACCCGAGTTCTTCAAAATCTTCCTACCTGCCTGTGCCCTCGCAATTCTTCAAAGCAGATGCCGCAGCGCCCATGCAAGCCTGCTCCCAAACCATCCATGGGTTTCAAAGAACTCCTCCCCTTTCCCCAAAGTCAAAAATGCCCAATCACGGAGCAAAGGGCGGGCATGCAAACGGGTTGGATGGCTGAAAGGAGCCCTCCTGTTTTCAAGTCCAACTGCACCGCTTACCCTCACTTCCTTCTGATCCGGTGACATTCGGCCAAACCAAAAAACAACAAACTGTTTGATTTACAATTAACACGGTCGAAACCCAAAACGTATAACGTCCAGGAACTCGGGAAGTGAGTCACCCTCCTTCAAGTTGACAGTGACACAACTTGGAGGTAAAGCGTGGAACCCATGCCACACAAAAAGTGTGAAGGCTCTAGGAGCCGAGTGCTAGGTCAATGTCTAAACATGACTAAACCACTGGTGTGTAAACCTCTCATGTTGGTTTGAGGGGTCCATGGAGTAAGTTTATCCAATTTTGCCATATCTGTCGCAGATGCAACTTAGAATCTGGAAGCGCATGCAGGGCAAAACCTTTCCGCCGATGCGTGGCCACGCCTTCTTCTTGTCAGAGAACTTCAGGGTGCCATCAATGCGGATCACCACATGGGCCAAATTGTGCGCTTGGATGCCTCAGAACAGCAAAAACCAGAGAGACCAATGGAAGCCAATGTGAGGAAAACACTACAAACTGGGCGATGACTCCCCTGCAAATCACCATGGAATTCAACGAGGGGGCCCCAAAAGGGATTTTCTTAAAAACAAATAAAAAATGTTCGTCTGAGTTCCATGTCAACCGTCGCAAGTTGCCAAAGACTTGGCCCAGAACTGGAGTTCTGAGCGCTCAATTTCAAAGCCGTCCAACCCAGAGGGCTACAAGGCTCCAACAGACTGCTGAAACAAAAGCAGAGGGACCAAAAGCGTATGTTGGGCCTGGTGATTCTCTTGGTCCCAAGGTTGCAAGCCGTCCAAGTCTCAAATTTTCACGGCGTTGGGCTAAGAAAATGCCCACTTGCGGAGATCACGGATGCGAGAAAAAACTCCGGATCGCTCCGGAAAGGAAGGACAAGTCCCAGTTTTCTGCGTTGAAACACTCAACTCGGCGCAGCCCTGAAGTGCCAACATGTCCCAATTGCAACACATACCGGGCAGTGGGAAGCCTACATGCCACGTCGCCTCGGCGGACATCACGTGAAGATGTTGAAGCGCAAATAAACACACATGTCACATACATGATGACAACATCTAAGGGATCGACGTGAATTTCCAATGACGCAACTGCAACATGTGAAGAAAGAGAGCAAGCAGGGCCGCGCATGCATACATTTCCAGCAAGCGGCTTGCGATTAAACAAGAAGTCAGAACTTCAATCAAATGATCCAAGCATCCAGCAACAAACAAAGAAAAGAGAGAATGGTTGAGGGACTGGCAATCGCAAGAAGGCATGTTTTGGCACTTTCGGACAAAATGAAGAAAATTGTAACGTTCCGGATGCTACCGCTTCCGGAACAGTCAAACAAACTGCCGGTGCAATTCACTGGGTTTGTGTTCTGTTGAGGGTACCCTCTTCAGCTTGGTTTCAAGAGAAGCCAAAAGGAAGAACATCATTTGAGTCGCAAAGAAACCTGCTATGCCCAGAACCACGTCAAAAAGGAGAAAAAAAGGAACAGGCGGGTCTCCGCGGCCATTTTGTGGCCAGGAGTGTCCCTTACCCTCCCATTTTCCGGCGATTGCCCCTTCAGGGCTCCCTATATTTCCCCTCAAAGCATCACTATGAAGGGAGACTTACCTAATGTGCAAAAAAGGTGATGTGGGCATGGGTCAGAATGAAACCATCAGGGGACCGCAGGCTTTAGTCTACTTTTCCCTTTTCCAGGGCAAGCCATATTGGGGTAACCCGATTTTTGACCCGCAGCCACGTTTCGAACAACCCAGGGGAAGTATAGGAGTCGAACCCTGCCCGTACCTGGCAACTCCTGACCTGGGCCAAGCACCTCCCATGAGGTAGAAGGTCTTGCCCGGAACCTGCAGCACATCCCCAGGACGCAAAGCTGCCAAGCTCTGGTTCAGCAGGGCGCCATTCTTCCACTCCTTGGTTTTGCTGCGGCTGGAAGTGTTTTTGTTTGTTTTTGGCGGCATGGGCCAAATCCTGCCCGAGGTGGCAGACATGGGGTTAAACCCCTCAAAACTAGCCAGTGCTGCTGACTGCGTCTGCGTCTGCGTATTGCGTTTGGGAAGGTGTGCGTGCACGCCGGCGTGTCTGTTGTGTGGTTGCTTTTGTTTGTTTGCTTGTTTGTTCGCTTGATTGGTTCATTGTTTGTTTGTTTGCTTGCTTGTTTGTTTGTTTGGTTGGTGTGTTTGTTTGTCTGTTTGTTTGCGTCTCTTTCCTTTTTTCGTGCAGTGTCACAGGTGTGTGCAGGACGTTAGAACACGTACCATGGCAGTTCGTGTTCATAAACAAAAGTCCTGCACCAGTTGGAGTGGATGAAACCCTGTTGAATAGTGAGTGATAAATGAGTGGGATAAACCACTTACCATTTTCTCCGTCCACACTAGTTTTGAGTTTTGAGCGGCAAAGCGCTAAGCTGAATGCCATGTCTCAACCTCCTCAGCTGAATCATCTGCCTTGGCGCCGGCTTCTTCGAAGTCAACCACGGCAGCGAACACTGCCGTGAGCAGCAGGTAAAGCTGAAATGCCCTCGCAACCATGGCAGGCCTTTGAGGCTTGACTGAATATGGCTATCCGAGCACATGTCAAGCTCGCATTGCTTGCTTGGTCCAAAACGGAGTGCGTAAGGCGCCAACATAGCCATGCATTGCGTGTTGACAACAGGCTCAAAAGGCGTTGACCGCTCCGTCGATGCCATCCATAATCAACAATTCGGGATACAAGGCATTATGCTGGAAATACCTCGTCAGCCAAGCTGACCGTTGCCGAAGGTTCTACTGGTTTCAATGCCTAGGTACATGTTGGGGTTGATCAAAAAGGTCCAGTAAAAGGGATGACCAGTACGGAAACCACCAACAAAAATGAACCACTAAATGGGACAAATTACCTATGGTCATTTTGGGGCCAGGACTACAGATCAACCCCGACGTGTTCCTCTCCCTCTCTCTATGGAAATCTATCACGCTTGGCGAGCTTCACAGGGTGTCCCTTGTTTGAATCGAGGTAAACATGCTAAGCTCCAGCTCTGGTTGGCTACTGCAGAGTTTCAGCACGCAACCAGGTTCTTGCTAGAACAAGGCAGCTATATAAATGCTCTAGAACATCTCTCCCTCTCTCTCGCTCTCCAGCATCCTCGAGGTCTCGCTCGTCCCAGGGATGCGGACAACCGTCTAGAGCATCCTTGGATACTATAATCTGTTGCTGTATGTTTCTGTAAGGTAAATAGATTGCGACAGGTTCCATGCCCCGGAGGAAGTCAACGAAAACGGTCACTTGATCGCTTTCGAGGCATTTTGTTTGTGTGACCTGTGGCCGGTACTAGTACACCGGAATTGCCTGGGCCAACATGTGCGAAACCAAAGGGCTTTGCGAATGCTTGCAAAGACAAAAAGGGCCAGCCGATGTCTGCACATCACGGACGTTACCCGAGCCCTCGGTTGTTGGGAGAAGCCTTCCCGAACTAAACTGTGCCCCTTTGAGTACTGGCCAGATAGGTGGTGATCTCATTGGTGCAGGATGCTCCTGAATTATTGTGAATGCATCGATATCCAGAGGATTCAATCCAAAGGCTTCCCAACCCATGGTTTTCTTGGCCGGCAAGTGCTTTTCCCCAGTCCTGAGCCCATTCGGCATGACCTTGAAGTCACCGATGCTGCCCCCCTCGAGGTTGACGGTCTGCGAGGGCTAGAAAACTCCGATGTCTGCATTTGCCGGTTTGGGATTGTTGGCCGCCCGCTCTAGCTGGCATGGGAGGGGCATCTGTCTGGGTATGTGTGTTGACCGAAGCCGCTGTTGGGGCCCGTCACCCAGGAATCAATCGCTCGGCCCCACCAAGCGCTGTCCGTCGTGACTGCTCCGAGCCAACCAGATGTGCCAAAGCGCAGATAACAACTCCAAGCCCGAATCGGGTGAGCGCCAATGGAGCGGTTTGAAGGTCACCTGGTGTCAAATTGGCACACGTGGCGGGACGTGGCGATCTGGATGCTGCAAACGTCCCAGGTTTGAGCACGAGGATGCCTCAGCTGCAATTGAGGACTGCTAGGCGTCTAAGTCAACACCTTTAGCATTCAGCTGCGAATGTAATTTGATTGGGACCCTTGGGAGTTTACGCTCCCTAAAGATGCAGCCATTTAAGCAGCCCACTCCAACGCGCACTTTCACATGATGGATTCAGGCTCGCTGTGCCCCGACGGCTCGCCGTCTTGACTCGCCGTGTGCTTCCAATAAGCAGCAAGGGAGTTGAAAACAGACCCCCGCCAAAAGGACTTGCCTGGCTGAAGGCTTCTTGCCCACCTTGCTGCGGGCCACACCCTCTTGCCTCTGTCTGTACATGGGGCAGGCATAGAAAGCCGTAAGCTATCGGCCATGCCGCAACCAGCTGAAGCAGAAGCTGCCTGCTCCGGATAAAAGCGGCACGGTATTTCAAATGAGAACCGAAAGGACACACGACGGGGACCTGGAAGGTTCTCTATCTTGGCATGCGGCCGTGATGACCCATGGTTCAGTGCTAACACGGTGCGAAAGAAATTCTTCGCTGGGGTCCCAGGGAAATGCTCGGGGCCTCCACTCAAGTCCCCACCGCAAGGCACCAGCCCAAGGCTCCAGCATTCCGATGACGATAGGCCAAGTAATACTGAAAGAGATGTTCCGCATTCACAGCGCCGGGTAAGGAAAGCCGTGGCATATCTGTTCAGTTTACTTTTGCCGAAAAGTGAGCAACAAAAAGAGAGAAAGAACCAGTTCACAGCAATGCCTGGTTGCCGTTGACCCCTCTGCCAAAGAAAAACCAAACACTTTCTCGGGGTCCAATGGGCAACTCATCATTTCGCACAAAGTTCCACATAGCCGGCAAAAACCATGTCTTCCTTAGTGCCCTGCCAAAGCCTTGGGGCGCGCCATGCGCACTCCGCAGGACACACGTGCGCCGTGCGCCGCTCACTTCTGGGCCCACTGAAATTGCAAGCTGCTCGAGCAGCCGCTGCAAGGACAAAGGAGTGGCTGCCTGCACCAATGTGGCTGTGGGTCAAAAATATGTACCCAAAATGGAACCCTGGTAAATGGAAACATGGACTAAAACCTGCGGTCCCCTGGTGGTTCAATTTTGCCCCATACCCATGTAGCAACTTTCTGGAGTCAGCCCTGCCGTCACTGTCTGTTTTACAAGAAGAGACGAGTGTATTGTGACTGGGCTCTACAATCCGGCCGAATCAAACAGGCGGTTTCTGGTTGTTCGCACACCTTGGAATCAAAGGAGGCTCATGGCCACCATGCTTACATGAAAGAATTATCCGCGCAGGATATGAAAACAACAGGCCTAGCCTCCTGTTGTGCTTTTCCTTTTGGAGGTTTCCTCTGGTTTGTCCTTGATTTGCAGACGGCTTTTCGCAGCAAACGCCAGAACAATTTTTTGCAGAGCCGGAGACAGCGCGTTCTTGGCTTTGAGGATGTTTGCCTGACATGATTCATGCAAGGGAACGGTGCTGCTCGTGGTTAGCCGGAGTTGCAAGGAACAGAAACACACTGCACAGAACGGACGGCCACTAGCTAAGTTGCAAAGTACCAGTCACCCCACCCTTGTCCGTGACGCATTCCCCCGAACCACTGCCTGCGACTCTTGGCTCGAGGTGGGTACGATTTACCTGTAGCCACTTGAGAACATTGCTCACACGGGTCACATCCAAGTTGGGTGATCCCAGAAGTGAATCCTCCAAGCTAGTTGCAACAAGTGCAGTGCATACCGGGCCTTCTTGCGACAGCTCCATCCGCCTCAAAGGCACCCGAAAAGCGAAGCAACGCATTCAACTCGATCCAATCCCGATCCATTTGGTTCCCCCGGCCACCTCAACTGGCCCAGATAGAAACAGGGGCCCGCATGTTCCAGAGAAATTTGACAAACTGTGCCTAAACAGTGTGCGTTGCCTTTCAAGTTGCCATTGACAGTATCGCACCCGGCCGCTTGGGGCTGATTTTTGTTTACAGTTCAGACTTCAAGAGCCACTGCACTGAACAAAGTAGCCTTAGCGGCTACAAAGCATTGGGGGCGTCCGACCACTGACTGCCACCCCTGGTCCAAAGCTGCCACTGTGAACAGAACCCACAACGGAGACAAACACAAAGACCTGGTTCATGCTGGTTCCAGAAGGAGGGAGCGCCGCCAAGGCATAGAGCAACACAAATCAAAAACGAAACAGGAGTCCGTCAAGCAGCAGCCCCAACACTTCCATCCCAAATGCCCAGTGGCCATGGGAAAAAAAAAGACGGTATCCTTTTTTGGTTGGTTGACTTTAAAGGTAACCCCCTTCCTAAAAAAATATTTTAAAAAAAAAGCCACCACTGGGCCACTGGGCCGTGATTTTTCAGCCGCTGTGCCTGGTCCGGCGCCTGCGGATTGTCCACGACTTCTTCGAAGTGATGGTTGAAGCAGTCCACGTGGAAGGAGTGCTTGCAGTGCATCACCACCACGAAGAAGCCCTGTCTCATCATGTCCTTGCACAGCTTGCACTCCACCGGGGAAAAGCCCACGTCGCGCAAGCTGGCGTTCACGCAGCACCGGCGGCTCGCCAAATAGAGACGGTCGTGCTCGTTCACCACCTCCATGGCCCGCGGAAATCCTCACCCCACATCTCTCTGAGCTTTATGAGCTGAAGATCGGATCAATCAACCATAAGTGCAATGCAGATCAATCACTATAATAGTCGTGACGAATGAGGAAAGAAAGTTACTTGGTAAGGCGCAATGTTTCAATATTCCCTGTGTGCCCAGCGTAGCACGGCAACGAGGCAACATTTCAAGCAAAAGTGTCGCAGGAGCCTCAGTGAGTATTCAGTCACTGTCCTCAGCTGGCATATATGAATATCACATTTCACGAGTTGGCCCCAGGTTGTTTTGCCTGTGAAAGGCAGTGAACGTGCCACTGGCCAAACACACATCAGGGTCCAGCTCTAGGTACACCAATGTCAGTATCGGACTCTGTTTCATACCCTCCCACCAATTAACATGGAACCTGACGGGGACACGGTCCCTTTAAAAGGAACATGGTCCAAACCAGGACTCCCGAAACGTCAGGTTTCATGTGAATTGATGGGCGGGCAGTGGACATCTTCTGAGACCCTAGGCATCCTGAAGAACGAGGCTGGGCTCAATCCAATTGGGCGCCCAGCCAACCGAATTCCGAGACCTAAATCCTTACCGAGGAAGGCAACGCCGGGCTCAGCACCGCTATCTGGCCACAGAATGGAAGCCACAAAATCCAAGTTGCATCCCAACTTCATCTTTCGGGTGATTGGCGGTTTCGAGGAAGTCAACATCATCCCTTTTTGTATCCAAAGACATGTAGTACATGTATATAGGTGTCCAAACTTTCAAGTGCATCAGGGATAGTTCCGGAATATGGGGCAGAGCTGGCAACATCCACAAACTTGGTCAACGGCGTCTGCCCCCTTTTTCCACTGCAACTATGCACACTGCAAAATGCAAACACGCCCTGAACAACACCCCGCGCGTCGTCCAAAAAACCCTTGAGGGGGAGGGTCACCGTCAAACAATGCAAGGTGAAGCATGCCATCCTCAGTCCAAGGCCATGGATTCTTCAAACGAAACCTCAGTGGTCGAATGATCCCTGATTCGTGACCGACCCCAGTACCCCCAAGTAAGCAGGGTCTTGTGACTCTTTCAAACTTGGCCAGGTACAAGTTTCCAAGGGCAAGGAACCGCTGCTTACACTCGGTTCTGCCCTTGCCCATGCAACTTCCGAAGCCCTCTTGGTATCCCCTTGGCGCATTTTTGGCCGCTGCTCACTCTCGGCCGGCTGGGCGCAAGCTGGAGATGACTTCACTGAACCTGGGCTGTGGCTACCAGGCGAGTCATCAGATCCGGACACAGCACTCAGGATTGGAACCAACTTCTGTTCAGGCTGCTTGCATCGCACCTAGAGAGCTCTCATGGAACCATTCTAGGGGTACCTTCCCCATTCTTGCCAGACATCCTTCTTCCTAAAAAACCACTAAAAACTCTGGGGAAACAGCTGGTGTTAAAAAGAATGGGGAATCAACCCCTAGAACAATCAACACTCCTCCGTTGTGTGGCACATGTCTCTGAGGTTTGCCAGCCGGCAGCTTGCATAGCCAGGCAGCTGTTGAGCAAGCTCTTGTGGCTCGAACTTGAAGAAGTACAGCTTTTTCTCTGCGTCGCCGTCTCCTGAAAGGCTCATTGGGAAAAAAACCTCCATATTTAAGCCATGGGCCAGGATTCCCTCCATAGGAACCCTTACAGTTGTCACCCATTTGCTTAAGCCCCGGGGAAAAAAATGACAATATTGCCAGTAGCGATATTGATTCACTTTAAAACCAACAAGGGAAAATAACAAATGTTCTTTATTAAGCAAATGCAAGTTGTTGTCCAAGTTCCTTATTTCGAAGTGATGGCTGGCCGATGTGGAGAACATGTTTGCAAGAAAGCGATCAACAGGCGACATTGTCTATCAAGCGGCACCCCAGAAACAATGAATGGGTAGCAACTGAAATGAGGCCCACTGGTGGCAAGTCCAACAAGCAACAGCAGCTCTCTGGCTGTCTGCTCCCCCCATGGTCTCCTACAAAAGGGTGAGGAGGAAATGACATCCTCCACTTGAGCATCTTAGCAGCTTGTCAGGCTGAAGAGAGGTGTCAGGTGTCCAACGTCCAATGCGTGCGGAACGCGGGTCGCGCAAGCCACGCCACTGCCCTGCCCCCGGAAACGACCTGCAAAAAAGCTGAGGAGGGGCCTGATTCTCTTGACCGGGGGAGGCATAGCACCGCCAAAGTGGGCATCCCCTTCTTGGGAAGGCCAGCCCTCTGACTGAATTTTGCAGTGACGAGCTTGCAGGGGTACAAGGGCAAACTCCGCAACTAGCAACCCGCAGGCTCCCGGACCTTAACTTTGTAACACGCGGAAGGCGGCATGGGACTAAGCTGGTCCTCCTCTTCGTGGTGTCCAGCGAGTCAGGCTCGACCTTGACAAGTGAGTTGCCCATGAAATCGTGGGGAAACGTGCTTGGATGCAGGTTCTGAATCCCCAAGGCCTTGCAGGACCGTTAGCTCACCGCGCTGCCAACACAAACCGCGCCAACATCAACCGTGCCTCTGTAAAAGAAAGAAAACGAAGAGCCCGCCGCCCATGCCAACCTGCAGTGGCAGTGGTATGCTGAACCGCTACGTCTCTGCTTCGGTGGCCCAGGAAAACCAACACATTGGTCATTTGCCTGTGGCTCAAGAAACCGGTACCAAAATGGAAGCCTGGTAAGTGGAAACATGGACCAAACCCTGCGTAACCCCTCCGGTTTAATTTTGAGCCACACCCATTTTGACTTGAGGTTCAGGCTCAAACCTAAAGCCAAACTGGAATGTTGAGGCTTGCCCGCGGCCCGAACCTCGCAAAATGCTGCCAACCCCGTTTTGTTGTCCCGAAGTATGGCTCCCGATGGCCAGTTCCCTGGACAAATCCTAAACCAAATGGAATTCGAGACCGCCCCTGACCGGAAAACAATATGAAATCAGCAACGCTAGCTAATGACATGATGTTCGCTCAGAAGCCGCAGCACAAGGGATTTGAGGTCGCGCAGAAGGGAATTGCGACATATCCAAGTCATACATGCCAATGCGTAATTCAACTCCAGAAGCTCTTTTGAAGGGGACTACTCGGCACCGTACGACTGAGACAAGCGCGAGCGGCGTCTCTTCCGCCGCACTTCCAGCGATAGCACGCCATCGTAGAGAAGGTTACATCTGGCAGCAGATGTGTATGATTGGCTGACATGCAACCTTCGTGACAAACACCTATTGAACCTGTCCCTTGCTGTCGAAACAACCTCGGCACAAAGGCCCGGTTGCATAAACCAATCTTGCCCAACCCAGGTTGTGCCTCTCACTCGCCACGCGACGGAATTGGGTGCGTAAGCTGCCTCTAAGCATGCTCCGGAAGCCGACAGGATTTATGACATCAAGATCCTCCTAAATCCGAGAGTTCTGAATCTCCGCTGTGCTGATTGCAGGGCTGCATGCAACTTCCCACGTGTCTTGCCCAGCGGCCGTTTGGAGAAACAAGCCTACAGGGGAAAAAAAAGAAAAAGAAAAAAAAACCACTAGCGAGCCAAGTCCAAAAGTCCAAGCCTCTCCACTTCACCGGCGCTGATGTCCACTACCGTCTTGACTTGGTCCGCAGAGCCCTGGCTCGTCCCATTTTCACCGGCCGAAGACCCGAAGAGCGGGGAAACGTCGTCTCAAAAAATGGGAAGGCTCAAGACGCCCTAGCTGTACCGTCCCCATTCTCACGGATCCTTCTCTTCAAATGGGCCAAACCCGTGCAAAGTAGGTGGCTTATAAAGAGACGATGGGTGAAGAGAACGGGGAATCAAACCTTAGAGACTCGTGTCCGCGAGTCTTCAGCACCTTGCAGTTTAAGTCACAAAATCTCATGGCTACTGCGAGCGCTTGCACAAGGCACATGTGCCTTCAGAGGACGTGGCGTGTGGGGGAATGTCACAAGAAAAACATACGATTGATTCCCAAAAGCAAAGAGCAGGCTTCATCAAAACTACATGTTCGTTCATTTCTATTATGACTCACACGTGCAAGCAAACAAATTCAATCCAGGCAAACCATGCCTCACGCGCATGCCACAAACAAATGGTGAATACAGGCCGACACATCGAGAGTTGCCATCCGGAAGTGCAAGCACTACTCAGCGGACAACTGGCGCTCGGGCTATGCAACCCCATGTCCACCCACTCACCTCTGTATAAGAGGGGACAAGTGGCTCGGGTGTTGGTAGATTGCGCTTCTTTGGGTTCGCTCATCGGAGAAGAAGCAGGATGCAATCCCCAGCGACCCTCAGAGGCAGTTCAGAGCACCTGCTTTAATCTTCCCAAGAGCTGTCACCCTTGCTTCAAAAACCAGCAAACTCTCACAATGACATGACGCACCCCTTCTTGCCAATAACACTTCTGCAAGAGGCAGCCCTGCTGATTGTGGTGTATGGTGTATTTTGCGAGGAACTGGGAACTGGCCTCAGTCGGCTGGAAGAAGCCATACACAGTGCAAGTACTTAAAACAACCACAGCAAACCAATGACCTTCCCGTTTCCTTCCTTGCATGTCGCACAAATGCAGGCAAAGGCAAATCACACAGTCACATAAATTTGCCACAAGAGCCGCGCGCCTTGTCGTAAATGAGCCTAGGGACAAGCGGTATCCCTTGCGGGATTTGAGGCAGAAAAGCACCCACTGATCGGTGAACTCGTCCCTTGAAACAGGGATCATTACATTATCCACCTGAACATTGCCTCGTAAATGGTGGTTTCCCTTTTTTTTGGTGTTAAAAACAAAAAACATGGTTCAATTCGTTGCAAAAACTATCTTTTATTTGAAGCCCTGTGAAAGGCTTGAGGATGCTTTGACCCCTGACGAGCTGCCTCAATGATTCGTTGATCGACTTGTCTCAGTGCCTATGGCACTTTGCACTTTGCTTGGCTGGAAGTAGGACCCCAGCAAAACATATATTTGTTGCCTGGTGGAAAACAAAGGGGACCCCCCAAAAAACAAAATAAAACAAGAACAAAAGGGGAGCTACTTCTGGGGAAGTTTGCACTGGCCAAGCACCTTGCACACCCAGTAAAGTCCTCCCTGAATGGAGGGGCGCCTCCATCCTCCTACATGTTTGAAAGGATTAGCTTGGCCTTTGTTGTCCAAACGTTCACCCCAAAAGTGCCACAGTGAGCCCAACAAATCCTCTGGCAACTCTGCCCGTCGAGCCGCAACTGGCTGCCAGTGATCAGCAAGCTGCGGCTGTCATGAAACTTCCAGCCCTGCACGCTAGTGGTGAGGCGCTGCACCTGCAAGTGGCAAGGGCTGCCAGCTGACTAGCAGAATGGGTCCAGGAATTGTGATGCAACAAGGGCGGCCCCCTGCGTGGTGGCTTAAAATTGTGAGTGGTTCAAAGCGAGCTTTTGAACGGACACCAGCTTGCAAGAAATAACTTGGTCTGGTTTCTAAGGTGCTCCCATCACTTTGTGTGACCACCACTCCACGTGGCGAACAAGGAAATCGCCAACACCAATACTAAAAGCAATACCAAAAGCAACTTAGCGGATTTCTCCCAAGCGACTGCACACATTCAGCCTCAAGCAAGGGATCCATGGTGCCCAAATGACACAGCGGACCATACAGTCCTTGAAACGGGGGGGGGCGTCCTCAAACGAACACAGCACCCGGAGATCACGGGAGGCCCCTTCGCGCGCCCTAAACGCGCGCCTCTGCACGCAAGCAGCCCCGCTGCAAAAAGGAGGCTGCTGAACTGGCCTCAGCTCTCTCGAACTCGAACCTGGGCATACTGTGGATGGACGAAATCCTGCACTACTTTGAAACATGGGAGCCAATTTGTTTGTTGGTATTTGCAGAAGAATCATCATTCCAGAGAATCTTAGGTGGTGCAGGATTTCGTCCATCCACAGTATGGCATGAACCAAAATACATCCCCATATTGAGTGGGAGGGGTGGTTGGGCCTCCAGTTCCAGTCAAATCTAAATCAAGGGGAAATGGAAAAAAGACATGGAATTCCAGGGCTGCCCCCCGGCCAGTTCCATCTTCAAGGGGATGGGGATAAACTTACCCTCCCACGTTGCCACGGCACCTGACAAAGGGTCTGGCCTCTTTAAGTGGAAATTGATCTTCCCGGTACTCCACAAATGCCTTTTGTTCGTGGGAGGAAGGGTACCACAAGGAGTCACGGGCGGAAATATCATGTCGACAGTGGGACTACTACACATGTCTTGACTTAATTGGGAGCGAGGGTGGCGGAAAAGAAACCGCGTCTTCTCTTCGGTCAAGAAGAGGCAGTCAGATGTGTTACTCTGCACATGGCCACGATTCTGACAAACAACTGGATGCCTGCCGCCCGCCCCCTGTTCCAACACAACTTCTTGAACAAGGCGCAAAGTCAGGAAGCATAGCTTCCTGTGCAAGTGGATATGCTATGGCAAGAAGGGCTGTGGTCGGCCTCTCTCATCCCGACACTATCGAGTTGAGGCAAGCACAAGATGGCAAGCGTTCCAACAGTTCCATGCCCAATGCGAAACAATTGGCAGCTCCTTGCAGAAGTGAGCACACAGTCCCCGCAAACCCACTTTGTAGAGTCGAGCGAACTCAGACAAACTGAGTTGCTTGTGGGTCAAAAAAAGGTACCCAAAATAGAACCCTGTTAGATGGAAACAAGGACTAGAACCTGCAGTCTCCCTGGTGGTTGAATTCTGACCTATACCCATTTGTTCAAATCGAGGGATACTTCATGGGACCTGTACGTTCCCAGATCCCCACCGCCGACTCACGCGAAAGCCAATGAGAAAGCCTTTGGACTGGATGCCAATGAGAGCCCTGCAAGAAGCAGGAAAGCACAGGCCCTTGCAGTCTTTCAAACAGGCTTAAACAAACAGGCTTAAATAAATTCGGACCCTCGAATGACTGCCGCTTGCATCAAGATTTGTCCGGAATCAAACTCTGCCCATGCGCCGGATCTGCCGAAGTCGAGGGAACCTCTTTGCGCTGACCTCAGCTGCAGCTCGCCACGAATTGCTCCAACCCACCCGAGAGGAGACTCCACAGGCGAAGTCTAAAACCGTTGGCCTGTGACAAATTCTTGGATTTCTGACCTCTTGCTTTAATCTCCGGCCAAAACAAGTAGCCAAACTCAACCTGTGCCACTAAAATGGTCCAAAACCAAAAAGTGACTAAAGTCCATGAACTCGGGAAGTGAGCTATAGCCTTGCCAAAACCATCCCTTCACCACTCTGGCTCACTAAACAAAGCTGGTTCTGGCAAGCCCGCAGCGGCTCTCAAGCGGTTCCCCTTGCCGGCGTCAATACACTAGCTATGGACTACGGCAGTTTGTTTTTTTCAGGAGCACAAACATCTTATCGCTCTCACTTGTTTCTGCAAAGCTGCGTGGATCACCCGCCGATCGAAATTCCAACTCCTTGTTGTGTGCCAGGAGTGGGATGGTCAACTATCACCCGCTTTCAACATGCATTCAAGACTTTGGTGTGGAAAATCAACTGCGCGAAGGACGCAGCAACAACTTGCTGGATGCTAGGGGAAAGGGATGTGTCCCCAACAAGGCCCAAGAGGCGCAACTTTTGTCCTGGCTGTGTAGATTGGAAAATGTGCCCTGGCAGCACATACACTGACATGAGGTTGATCAATTCATGTACGTATGTTTGGCGAATATCACAAACGTGTTGGCATACATGCTTGACCAACATCGGAGCCCCCCGGAAACATGTGAAAGAGCCACACATCTAGCCTACAAATGCACAAGCAAATGCTGAGCTTGTACGGATACAGCAATTCTGCCACTTCCTATGTACACGCGCACACTCCAATGAGTTCACTTCCATTTGCGCAAGCCCCCTGGACAAATCACATGTCCAGTAGTGATAGATTCCGTATAAACCAATGGGAAAATACACAATATTACTTCAGCAAATGGAAGCTAAATACAGTTTCATAGAAGGTCTCACTTTCAAGCGGACTTTGCGCATTCAGGCATTGCACACAGGCAAGTCCTTGCAAGGAAGCCAACATCCAAATCTCACAAGCAATATGTATTTGCACAACCTGGACAAAAATGAGAAAATGTGTCCAGCAGGCATAGGTTCCCTTTCAGCCCAATAGGAGCAAACCAAAACACGCCATTTCAGCAAATGCAGAAACATGTAAAAAACAAAAAACTGCTCATTGAGACGTTGGATACCAAATCGCACCTCGCCTTTCCCGCCTTCCCCGCCTTCTTGAGGCCGTGAGAGCAGCGTAGCGGGCGCCTCAGGCCTGCAGCTTCAAGCAGGCTCGGCTCAAAGCGAAGCAACTTAGTCACCATCAAAACCCGGTATTAAAATGCTTGACCCAGAACCGTGTAACGAAATACAAAGGCTGCAACCGTTTTTTTTATGGCTGGGATTGTCCCTTACTACCCTTCATCTACCCGCGTTTCGATTGTGGCTCAATTCAAACGGAACCGCTCGACGTTTTGCGGGGATTCTGGATTGGATCGTTTTCCTTTTAAAGGGACCGGGTCCCTGTCAGGGGCCATGTTGATTAATGGGGTGATAAACTCCGTTCAGAACACATGCCCAACAGCATGGCGCACTGCTTTGATGCTCAATGGCAAGCTGGTGGCGCGGCTTTGTCCAGTGTGCTCACCAACCATGGGGGCCATCCAGCCATTGCGTACCTCAATCCTCTACTATTGCGTTGCTGCCTGCAGCTTAGGTGGACCGTAATACTCTCCCAAAAACGGCTGTGTCCCCTGTGTCCGATTCTCAAACGCCAAGAACAAACATGCGGCCTCTTGAAGTTACGAACAAATGAAGATACCTCTTCGAGACATCAGCACAAACTACTTTGATTCACAAACTCGAAGTAAGAGACCCCCCCCCCAGAAAAAAAAAAAAAAAAAAAAACTGCAATCTGGGTGAGTTCACTTTTCTCTCGGTGAGTTCGCTTGACCAATGTGCATAAACATAACAGGGATCCTCACTTTATACACCTGAACATTGCCTTGTAAATGGTGGTTTCCCTTTATTTTGGTGTTGAAAAAGCAACATGATTCAAATGGTTGCAAAATGTATCTTTTAAGGAGCCATGCATGAGCAGCCCCCCTTTTCTGCGAGCTGAGCAGCTCCAGCACAGCCGGCGACTGCGTCCGCGATGCGGTAGATGGAGTCCTGAGCGCGCCCAGTCGGGACATGCTGACTGAGCGAACGAGTGTCAAACGGGTCAGGATTTCACCCATAGGTGTCCTTTTAGGGGAAATAGATGGTCTGGTAGATGATGAAACCACCAGGTAAACCAGTGCCATCCATTTTTCTAGCAAAACAACCAAAAAGGACACCTATGATTTCAACATGAGGTCTAATACGCCTAGCTAGTTAGCCGCATGAAGTTCCGTGTTGAATTTGGATGATGCCTGAAACACTCGAGAAAAACGGATCTTAAATTGTGGGTACTGACTGCCTCATGATTCATCCGGAAAGGAGAAAGGCTTCGGCTCAAGCTTGGCCTATACAGTGATGGATGACACAAAATGATAGAAAATCCGTTTGGGTCCTGCACACTACTCAGGTTGTTCATTAAAAAGCAAATCGGCGGTGAAGGCGGGGTTTCCCATTTACCATCCACAAGAACCACTCAATTCCCCAGACCACCAATCCAAACCACCAACTAACTAAGGGTTACCTGAGTGGCTGGAGCACTCCCCAAAACTCCCATGGGCAACTACAAAGACTATAGGCCAGACCTGGTTTCTTATGCAGCCGGCGCCGGCCCTCGATCCGAGTTTGGCCGTTCGGCGGGCAAGCAAACAAAATTGCGAAGTCAAGTCGCCTGGGCCTGGGGTCAAAGAACAAAGCGACAAAGGGCGTGAAGCATTTATATGTCACCCACGTCGGGGACTCCAGACAAGGTTGAACCCCCCCCCATTTTAGCAGAGAAAATAGGGATAGTCTATCTTTATTTTGAGTCAGCAAAGGGGGTATATGTCCAAATCCCAGTTGGCCAGCGTCCTTGATGGCAAGAGTTGAACCCTTGCTGTTGACTACATTCAATGACCCCAACAAAACCTGGGAAGGCCACACGCCTCCCGTCCCTAAAGCCAAGGCTCATGCCGGCTTCGCGCGGCAGGCCGAAGCTGAGCGGCTCCGCGCGCGCACCTGCAACATGCGGAAGCACATGTTCCCCACAAAAAACTGGACGAATGGAACAAAACGTGTGCGTCTGTTGTAGGATGCCTACCAAGCATTGCGACCTGTCCCGAAGTTGCTTGATCTGAAGCCTGGACTTCTTTTGACCGCTGTACTCCCAAAAGTTGGAAGCACCGGCCTAGAGAAGAAATGGATCCTCTTCTCTGTTGGATAGCTTTTGCAAGGCTGTTCGGCACGTGGGAATCCTTCCCTCGCAAAGTTCAGCTACTTCGCCAACAACAAGCAAAGAACGAGCGACTTAGGCAAAAATATGCAATGGTGAAATGGCCAGGGCTTGACACCTTCCCTTTGCTTACTTTTTCATTGACTGATACTGCAACTGCTATCCCCCGCTGGGCTCATCATCACGCAATCCTCACAGCTTGCAATAGCCAAGCGCACAACACAACACCAGCCTCATGTATAGGTTGTTGCTCAGCTTCGCCGCTCCACTTTTACGATATACCTTTTCATGACCTTTGAGACTACCTACATCCTTTTTCCTGTCAAAGAGGGGAAGTCGAAGATTTGCTTCTTGCAAGGGTGGTGCTCAGCAATGATACCGGTGAGTCCACTTCGATTTGCAGTAGGTAACCAAGGGAACCCCCCTTTAAAACTCAAAAGGACAATTGTCGGGTACCTACTAGTTCCCTACTAGTTCCCTTCTATACTAATTAGTAACTGTGTTCCATTTGGGCTTGGATGGATTTCACTGCCCCGGTCAGCATGTTTCAGGCTTTCACCCACCCTTCCATTCTAGGGTCGCCCAAATACTTTTAAGGCCAACTGCAGCTGGTTCTTAGGAAACGTGGTACTTGCAGGGGCCCATAAAAAGTGACTGACGAACAACATGTGCTGACACCCGCCTTCTGTAGCCCGGCTCACCGGCGAAGGCTTGCTTTTGTCCTTGCCTGGCCAGTCCCCTGTCCAATCCTGGCCTGGGGTCAATATTTCCAGTAGCTTCATGAAACACAAAAGCTTTGGGCGGAAATCGTGTTCATGCCCTGTGGGCGCGTGCAACGAGCTACAAGTTGGGAGCAGCTGAAGCAACATTCGAAGGTTGAGAGATTACCCAGTGATCCCGAAAGCATGCCAAGGTTAGTTCCAAAAGCAAGATGAGGCGTAGCTCTAAGACAACAATATTGCTTCTGAAGCGAACACACCTCGCCTTGGCAACAACGACACACTGCCAATGCACATTTATGCAAAGCTTGATTCGGAAGGTCAGCACTTCCAGGCATCTGAGGGGAAAAAAAACAACAGAACCAATGGAGGTAAACAGTGCCAGTGAACAACCGAGCCTCATTGACACTGTCAGGTCCTCTGCAGGTGTGGGCCAAAATCAAGCCGCAGTTCCATTTACCAGGGTTCCATTTTGGGTACCTATTTTTGACCCACAGCTAGATGCTTGTCAAGTGTCACGCTGCAAAGATCTCACCTTGCTGATCATGTTGGTCGGCATCTGGAAAAGGATTGGTTTGCTCCGCTTCTTCCGCCAGAGCGTCGGAAAACGGGTTGGTGTCCTCAGTGCGAAAGATCAACCCTGTCACATGACATTCTCCTACCCCTCCATCTGCTTAAGCCCCCAGGAAAACATAAACATATGTCCAGAAGTGATAGATAGGTTCCCTTTAAAACCAGCAGGGAAAAAATTATTAAGCAGATGGAAGCTACAGTTCCATCAAAGGTCCCACTTTCAATTGGACCTGGTTCATTTCGGGCATTGCACAAGGGCGAGTCCCTGCCAGGAGCCCAACATCCAACTCACAAGCATGCATTTCCCGGTTTGGGGTGGTTGGATGCCCCCTCCGCGGGAACCGTGTCGCGAAACTCTTCCGAACGTTTGGCCCAGCATTCTTCCGCCTGCCAGCCCATTTGCACTCCCCCCCTCCCCCCATGAATAAAGCAACACGCCTTGCAAGCCCCCGCGACATGGCTTCAAGACACCTTGAGCAAGAACCATAAGGACAATGCATCCAGAAATGTTGGCCAGCCAAGGGACAGAGATGCTCCACGTGCAAAATCCTATGACCCACAAAATGGAAATAAAACATCCCCCGACTAAGGGACCCTTCATGGGGGAGCCCCTTGAACCGTGACTGAACTATACCGTGAAATTCTGCAGCAGGGGGACAGGGATGCTCCACTTGGTGCAAAGTTCGATGCCTCACAACATGGAAATAAGACATCCGTGGCTACGAAACCTTCAGCATTGCCTGAACTATATTGTGAAATGATGTTGTCTTCGAGGACCCATGGTACCGTCCTGTCCACTTACATGGACCCCACCAGAAAACCCAATTTGAAGCAAAAAAATGGTCTTCCACCCAGAAGCGTCAGGTCCCTTGGCAACGTGCACAGGAGGGTAACACCTCCTCATTGAGTGGCTTTCAAACGGCTGTGGGTCAAAAATGGGTACCCAAAATGGAACCCTGGTGAATGGAACCCATGACTAAAACAGGCGGTTCATATCCCGGTGGTTTAATTTTGACCCACACTCAAATGACCCCGTGGCCAAGTTGCACGCCGCTGAGGTGAGGTGATACTTCTCATGGAGCTGTCGTCGAAGGGGTAGCTGACAGGACTCGCCTCCATGCAGGCCTCCGGCAACTTGTTTTTAAGGGTATTTTGTATTCCACCCTAGGATTACACCCTTGGGAAATGACCAATGGTTCACTTAGTTGACTCCTTGGGAACGGCCAGCAATACTCCTGCAAACAGCCAGTTTCTTGCACTAGAATGACGCTGGTCAGTTTTTGCTTTGCGGAAGTGCAGCTTGATGATTATGCAAATTGCAGGTGTACATATATTGTTTATACCTACCGGCCTCAACATGTCTGTCTCCCTCTCTCTCTCTCTCTATGGATCTCCCTCCCTCTTCTGAAATATATATATATATATCTATATATATAGAGAGAGAGAGAGTATATGGCTATACACGTGCTTGCCATATACGCGCAAATTGGATGAACCGAGAATACATCAAGCCAGGCCTAAAACGGCTATTCTCAAGTGTCCAAAAGGCGGGCTACACAGGATTGACAGAAAACCATGCTTTGGACAACGTGTTGTTTCTTCCCAGGCAGTTGACCTGGCTTTGGCCTTGGCCCCGAAGAGCTCGTCTCGCGTGTCTTCAGGTCGTGCTGCGGGTCCTCGCGTTGCGAATTGCGCAGTCCAGTGCAACGGGCCAGCACATGGTGGGGGGGGCTCCCTCCAAAAAAGGTACAAACCCAGTTTTTCGTTGTGTGTTGCTTAAAGGGGCGATCGGGTGCTTTGTAAGTGATTAGTAACTATGGTTATAACCCACTGAATGGAGACTTATAACCCTGGTAAGTGGGTTACAAGCATGGTTACTAACTACTAACCACTTACTAAGTACCCTGCCCCTTTAAGTAGAACACCTCCCAACGGTGTGTTCTTTTGGTGTCTTGAGACAAAAGCCAGGGCGCTTGCTCCTAAAGCTTCCCTGGGCGCCAACTATCAACCCACCAAAGGTTCAACATTCGAGCTGAGAACCGAGAGCGGCTCTTGTGCTTCTAAGCATAACTCAAAAAGAAGAAGAAGAAGAAGAAAAAAAGAAAAAGGCAAAAAAGCCGAGATGGAGCAAAGAAAAGGATGCAACCAACGGACGTCCCTTGCCACTAAACCACTAGGTGCAGCATCTCTGACAACGCCTTGGCCAATCACAAATCAGCCAACCTCTAAACTGGGCTGTCCTCAGAGTGGCTTAAATGGAACCCCCACTAAACCCTAACAAGCTAGACACCTAAGGGGACGGCAGGGAACCACCAAGCACAATGTGGCACACTCAGTGAAAGCGTATGCATTGTTCGTGTTCCTGTCTTGGCATCCCGCCGGCGGTGCAAAGTGATCTCCTGGTGGCGACTCCCAACGTGTAGGCTTGTCCCGTTCGGCTCTTGCGCTTCGGCGCCCCCTCAACACCCAAAGGGCCGGACAGGCCCCCTCCCTGCCGCAGTCATCTTGCCGAGCATCGTTCCCAGGGCGCAGGTCCCAACGAGGTATGGTGCCAGGAAACGCGGCCTGCAAGCCACGCAAGGACTCAGGTTCCCTGCCTGCCGAACCTCTCCGTCACAAGCAAGTTGCTGTGCACTTTCGTTGGTCATGTCGGTCTGATGGTCTAAGAGGGCAGCCCGTTCAGCAACGCAATCGAGAGCATTGCCTTCCTTGAGCGGGAGGCATATTGCTTTCACACCAACCACACAACATGATGAGTTGATGCAACTGCGCCGTCAACAGCACAAACACAAATTACTTCAGCATGGATTAACAACTCGGAATCAAGCAAGCAAAGAAGCAACACATCTAACACACAAACTAATACACAAACACAATTAGGCAAAGAAGCAGAAGGGGTTTAAGTACCTCCTCAGAAGGCCTTTAGTCTCTCAAGGGGTGGTAGGTTGAACAGGTTCTAGGCGAGAGCACACGTGCGGATGGGGCTTGGTCGCCCGTCTCTGTATGGTTGTTTTTCCAGTCCCATTCAGCTCGTGTCCGATTGTTTTTCTTCGTCTCCATTTGTCCCAGTTTGTTTCTGCATGTCAGTTAGTCGGCCATTTGTATTTTGATTTCCCCAAAATCCCTACCTCAAAGGTCCCACAATTCCACAATTCCATTTATTCAGTCTTCCCCACAAAAGAGAAAATGGAACCCTAAATGGAATTCAGTGGGTTACCCCCTTCCCCCAATTCCATTTTGAAGGGGGTGGGGATTCCCCAAAAGCCATCGTCAAAGGATAGCTGGACCCGTCTGGAGCACACCTGCTGAGTGCATCGTCAGTGCGACAAAAAACTCGAAGCGCCTCCGTTGCGAACGTGGGAGATCCATCCATCTGCTGGCAGCTCCTCAGCAAGCTTGGGCCCCTCGATGCTAGAGGAAAGCATGACGATGACGATGATTTTAATTGATGATGATGATGATGCTGATGAGGAGAAAGAGGAGGACGAAGATGAGCATGAGCATGAGCATGGCATGAGCATGAGCATGCTGATGATGATGAGATGATGATGATGATGATGAGGAGGAGGAGGAGGAGGAGGAGGCCGACGACGATGACGATGATGACGATGATGATTATGAGGAAGGGAGGAGCAGCAGCAGGAGCAGGAGGATGAGTGACAAAATAATAACTGATCTCTTCTTGCTCTTCTCGCTCGAATGCCAATGGGCCCATAAATGTGTCACAAACGGTTTGGGGTCGAGGCCCCGTTTGCACAAGAAAGCCGGAAACCCACCTTGGCCAGAGCTTTCGCTCATGGCCCTGACTGGTGGAAACAACCATACCTGACAAGCACATTGTACAACAACTTGCTGGTTCGACCAGGCAGGGAATGAGGGGATGACCCGAAAAGAATCATCTTGCATGGTTTCCTTCAAGGGAATCCCCAACACCTTGGGTTATTCCCTACTAGCACCAGCAATACAAATCCCCGGCAAGCAAACCGAAGCGTGGCGTGCACAGCCGGTTTGAAAAGCCCACAGGGAATCCTCTAGGCCACCCTGCGGTCACCAACTCTGCCGGTGTCGACGTTTGCGAAGCTGGTGACGGGGCGGGTGCAGTCGTTGACTTCGTTGTGGCAGGTGCCGGAAGCGAGGATGAGGATGGCTCCTCCGCACCATCCCCCCTACCTTAAGGGGGCGGGGGGTGGGGGGTCCCACACTTCCATTTATTCGGTCTTCCACCGACAAAAGGGAAAATGGAACCCTAAAAGGAATTCCAGGGGTCACCCCTCCCCCAATTCCATTTTCAAGGGTGTCTTGAGAGGTGGGGGCCTTATCCCCCCTGAGTCATATGCGAAGTGCGCAGAGCGTCGCAAACGAAGATTCGGCTCTGCCTTTCTACTTCTCGGGTGTTTCCAAAAGGATCCCCACCCTTTGGGGGTCACCAAACACATGCTTCATACTCCTGTGGCTTGGACGTCTTTTCGTCTGAGGGTTTTTGTATTACACCCTGGGATTACACCCGTGGGACATGACCCAGAATGGTTCAAAATAACACGGTTGTATCCGGAAATGTGCCTAAATTGGGCCAATACCCAGTGGGTGTATTTTCAGGGTGAAATGCACAAACCCTTAGATTTCGGCACTTCTCGCAGCTCCCGGAGCTAAAAACAACAACAACTCCGACACATCCGGCCCCGATGGCCCCTGATCCTTCAGCTCCCAGCTGGTCTTTTGCCGCAAGGAGTTGAACGTGGCCCGCACCGCCGCGGGCAAACTGCCGCTCCTGGCAAGCGGGCCGAAGAGCCCAAGATCCGGAGATCCGAAGATCCCCACCCTAGCTGGTTGTTCAGCCGGGTGTTTTTAAACCCAAGGTCTCAACAAGGCTTTATTGGGGGCGTATGTTGGGGTGGATCCAAAGGTCTCAACAAGGCTTTGTTGGGGTCGTATGTTGGGGACAAGGGGGGGGCTTTCATCCCATTGAGGTCTATCTTGGTTGCTGGAAGGACCCCTCTCCAAGAAACGTTAACTACGCAAACTGTTTGTGGGCTCATACGGAGAACCAGCTGAGTGAAAGTCTACAAATCCAACCCGGATAGCAATCAAGTTATTGGGGTCGTATGTTCGGGACAAGCGGGCGAGGCTTAATCGGGGCAATTCTTGTTCGCATTCTTGTTTGGCCGTTGACATAGGGCGTAGCGGTAGAGTCATGATCACTGCTGGTCGCAGTTGCCATCAACATGTCAGCGACCTCGTCCCTTTGTTCCCCACTTGTACGCGCTTGGTGGGTCTCATGCGAATGGATCAATCAGGCGCCGTCTTGAAGCATGGGGCTTCAAACAAAAGTCCTTCCCCAAAATGATCCTTTTTAATTTCCGTTTCAGGTTCCAAGTGTTAAAGTTTCCCAGTAGCAACTGAACAAGAAGGATGCTCCTTTCTGGTTGATCTTTGCAGGCAAAGGGAAACTGGCACCGTTGGACCGCTGAGCCATTTAGGCTCCTGCGTGAAACTACACCTGACAGAAAAGGGCAAACATCCCGTGCCTCCTGCGGGCAGACGCCTCTGCCTGGCAGCTGAACAATCTTGCTCATCTCATAAGCCGAGCGCTAATTGGTGCTATGCTTGCCAAGCGCTCGCCATTTTCCGAGTGAGAGCGGACACAATCCGAGATTGAAAGACAGGAGGCTCCCTCTTAGTCATTTCTCCGGGGTTGCCATTTATGCCAACATTTGGCTCATTTGAGGGGTAAACGTGGGTGGTAAAGATTGCCTACACGGATTGTGTGTTTGATGAACGCACCCATGCCGATATTACCTTGGGATTCGCCCACTGCCAACCCATGAGCGGCTTCAGCTCTGAAACTTCCTTCGCCTTGGGCCCTGCAGCGGCTCCGCAGCCAGGCTTGTGATGTCTAACAAGCGAGCTACCTTCTTTTTTGGTGAGACACAAAGGCGTTTGCTAAAGCCGGACTGGACCTAGATCTGACTTCCATACATCCTTGAAGGACTTGGCATTTCAGGTCCAAGCTCAACGCCGATTCATTCACTTCACCTCCAGCGCTTCTTGTGGCACCAGCAACATCGACCTTGACATCAGCTCGAAGCTCATTACGAAGTGCTGAAACCGTCCACAGAGACGTGTCTGCCGCTCGTGGCGCTCGAAGGTAGGCCGGTGATGGAAGTACCTGATCAAGCAAAGCGCTCCCTGTGAGCTTGTTAGCCAAGCCGCTGAGCCTTAATCCTCCTACAAATATGCCTATACAACAAACTTGTGTTTGTGCATAGAAACTATGTATACAGACATTACTTGCATCGCGTTTATTGGAAGGTGCGGCAACGGGAATTACTTGGAGAAGACTCAAACAGGCATATTGAGTAGCCCTAAGCAACAACAAACAAACACAGCCTCAGCTCTCAGCCCATTGAGGCGATGAATATGACTCCCCAGCCATTAAAAGTAACATCCACTCAACAGGGATCCTTACATTGTACTGATGAACATTGCCTTGTCAATGGTGGTTTCCCCTTATTTTGGTGTTGAAAAAGTAGCATGTTTCAAATGGTTGCAGAATGTATCTGTTAAGGAGCCCTGCTCAAAGGATCTCTCCTTCCTGCCGCTCTGCTCGGGCTTGAGTGCAAACAAGAGAAGCACAACTGGCTGACGGCTACTGCGATGCAACTGAGATATCTGAGAGTAGCTTGCAAGATCCAAGGCGAGCAAGGCACTCAAGACAAGCAAAATAGTCCAAACTACATGCACTTGCAGCTCATAAGCTGAGACTGCATTGGTAGTCCGCCATCAGTAGTGTGCCCTGATGTTCCCACAAGGCAGCTCTCGATCTTTGAGTTCGACAGTCACAAGCTCACACTGTAGGCTTATACGTCCAACAAAGCCGCAGCTGCCTGATGGAATCTGGCCATGAATTTGAACAAGGAACCCCCTGGAAAATGGTTGGTGGGCATAAAACCCCACCTAAATGATGTCCATCAATGAGTCCCTCATTACTGTAAAAATCATGCCCGTTTGATTCGGCAAATGTCTTGTCCGCTCTCGTGTTGCAGAAACCGTTTGAAGCAAACCTCCGGCGAAGGGAAGTCCTGGGGTCCATAACCCTGGATCCATCCCCCTTGGTTGATGTTGATCCTCTCCAAAATAGTTTTCGTACTTTTTGCAGGTTCAACGGAAAAGAGTTAGTTTCCCCAAAACATAGTCTAAAGATATCTAAAGATCCAACCCAATAGCAATCAAGATCCATCATTTTTCCGTTGACAAGTTGCACGTGCGCGAAGATTCGGTAGAGCCGACGTGACATGGACTGGAAGTACTTGGCACAGCTTGCGTTGACTCGCCTCGGGCAAGACGGCTGAAAGCGCAAACTTGGTTTTTCAACATGGGAGGGATGCCTAAAATCCAAAACTCATAGTGGGACACCTAAATGCAACGAAAGAACAAAAGTTCACACCGCAATGTTGGCAAAGCTGTTTCAGGTCAAGGTCCGTCACTGGGGCCAACTGGACGCCCAAAATCATAAGCCTAATGTACATGGGTGAACCCAACTTCCCAGACATACATGGCCCAAGCCGAGCTAACGCAAGCTGTGCTTGAATATCCCGTGGCGCGATTCAAAGGGTCTCTCGCTCTCTCTCTCTCTCTCTCTCTCTCTCGCGTGCCATCGAATGTCTCGTCTGCAGAAGCGCAGGGCACCTTGCCCACCGAGAAAGAAACTCAAACCGAGTCAGGCTCGCGAGCCTAGCCGCCCCCACTCAGCTGTCACCACTCTCTCCCAGGTTTCCGGGCACAAAGACTTCGATGGGATTCATTGCGTAATTCACCCTGTTGCAGCGCCGTTGGTGCAAACATAGTGTCACCTTTGACGATCCTTTTGGCTGACTCAGATGGATGGATGGACGGATGGACGGGCTGTTTAGACACTGTACCCTGGGGTGACTGTCCCTCCAGCCAACCGGGGTTGTTGTTCTAGGCTGTATACGGTGGTCCCACGGGGCATGAGACGTTGTATAAAAAAACATTGTTGTTTTTGGACTTCCTTTTTTGGGGCTATCGGGTCTTAACCTCTGCTCGCTGTGCAGCCTTTTGCGATTTCCGTGCTTTCAACCTCGAAATCGCGACCTTTTAACGCAAGCGTCGCTCTTGTCAGTACAAGTGTAGTACACGAAGCAAACTTTGACACCTCCAGCTCGGAATCGCAACTTTTCATAACCAGCGTAGTACACGAAGTGCGCTTCGGCAGCTCCAGCTTGGTTCAGCTGTGCCACTCGGCAACAGGTCGTTTGTGTGCAAAACGTATCGGCAAGTCTGGCCTGTTTGCTACTCAACAAACGCTGACAAGGCAGCTCCGAAGACTTAACTTAAATCAACGGGGTTTTTCACGACCTCATAAGAGAGCATGCCTGTGACGCAGTTCTGCGTGACTCTGAGCTGCGCATATGCTCCTCTAACTTAGCAGTTCTAGCCGTACCTTCCCCATTCTCAGGGCTCCTCCTCTTCCAAAAATGGCTGTGCAAGGTGGCTCTGGAAGCAAACTGTTCAATGATCTCAGGAACGAACAACATCACGGGTGCCCTCAAAGAGTGCCTCATCACTTTCTGTCACCTGGATGTGCTCAAGTTCCCACTGCAGCCCGGGCACTCTCTCTGTGGAAAATGCCGCTCGTTTGTCAGTAAGGCGACAGAGCCGTCGATGGTGTGGGTGATGTAATCGATGGCGGAGCAATCCTTCAGAGACTCACTCGGGCCTCTTTCATCCTCTTTCTGGCAATGGACCTCAAGAGGTTCGGGGGCAAAGGCTGCATTTTGGGGGAGCTTGGCAAGTTTCGCCTCTTGTTTGGGGGAAGCAGCTTGCCAATGTGTCCTGAGATCGCGTGCCCATAGAGAGGAAGTTGTTTTGAGTTTTTTTGGAGGGGTCCCTCAATTCCATTTTTCCAGTCTTCCAACCACTAAAAGGAAACTGGCTCGCCATAAATGGAAGTCCAGCGGTCGAAATCCCCCCCTCCAACCACTCCCCAATTCTTCCATTTGCTTTTTCGCTCCCTGGATCAAATAACAAATATCCAGTAGTGAAATCGATTCCCTTGAAAAAACCAACAAATGGGAGATATCCAGTAGTCTAGTAGTGATAGATGCCCTTTATCCACTACCGATATCCAGTAGATTCCAATTCGGGGGCCTGGTCTTCAACGGATGTCCTGTGGCTTCCGGTGCGCGGAGCATAAGTACTGCCACTCATTGGACGCAGTCATCTTGGGGCATGTCTCTGGCGTACACTCCCCAAGCAGAGCCTGCCCAAAGGATGAGGCGATCAAATCTGGGGTTCATGACTCATGGCTAGTTGCCCCTTAGTTAGGACCTGGAAGCAGGTGATCACCTTTTGGGGTGGCGAAATATGGGCACCAAAATCGGAAAACCAAAAGGTTAAAAGGTCGATTCGCTTTGAATAACTGAGGAACTACTAAAAGAAGATTGAACTCCATGACAAAGCTCCGCAAGTGCTCGTATTGCCAAGTCAATGAATCTGTCTCTGGTGGCAGCTGGTATATCTTCTCAATATCTGCCGGGTCGTCCCGGATACAATCCTGTATGTACTCCGTGATGGCCAGCGGCCCCTCATACGATGCGAAATCTCGAGCCCGCCAGTTCCACATCTGGGCAGCCTTTGTGCCAGGTAAATTCTTTGGTTGTCTCGCATTCTCATTCTCTTCCTCCCCCATGAGGAGCGAAAGCGCACAGGAATGATGCCCGGGAATCAGCCCGCCATGCACGCTCAACAGGCTACTCCGCGGCTAGGGTGCTCCAAACAATTGCACGCTAGTGTTCTATGATATGCGGCAAACGCGGTCTGTTTGCAAGTAGTTGCCGCCAAGGGGGAACAACAAAGGGAAAAACACGTTGCCGTCTTGGACCGAATGTGGGACTACTCCCTGATAGCTTTCTATCATGCTACGGAATTGAGCCATGACTGGCTGCCTGAAGAGGCGCAATTCAGTCTCAACTGTAGTGGTGGTCCTGTTCGTGCGCTCATGCATTCTGGGCAAAGACAGGGGCATTGAAACTGCACTGACGGAAAAAAAAAAAAAAAAAAAAAAAAAAAAAAAAAACGGGCAGCTGGTTGAGACGGAACTTCTGAAGGCCTCCTACCTCACAAGCTGGCCTGAAGCCACATGCAAAAGATTTCATTGCGAGAAGCAAAGAAGAACTCCCGCATGGAAGTATCACATGCAAGTAGGGCATGTGAATCTGACATGGCCTGACTGTCCAAGGCCCTATGATGCTGAACATGCAGACTGTACCGCCCCTCCCTATAAAAGTCTCGCTCCATTTAAACAGCGGTGCCATCGCCCGATGGGATGAAGCAGCACCGCCTTGAGCCTCTCAAGCCAATTTGAATGGGGAATTTGTCAAGACTCATTTGGGTATGGTTCAAAATTAAACTACCAGAATATGGACCGCAGGTCTTAGTTCTTGTTTCATGTATCAGGGTTCCCATTCTGGGCACCCATTTTTGACCCACACCCATGTGTCGCATTTCAAATCGAACCACATGAAACTC